GGGGGGGGGGGGGGGGGGGGGGGGGGGTTCACTCAAAAAGGCAAAGAGGGGATTGAAGGGAAACTCGGCACAAACTCTCCTTCCGCCCTGCGGAGGACCCACTGTTCTGGTCTTCTGCAGTCCTGGGCTCCCTGTGGGGCTGAGCACCTGGTCCACTGACTGCCGCATTCTCCCTCCTGCCCACGCCATCTACTCAAATACTGAACCACCACCATCTCTTGTCACCCTCCCCCCCCCCCCCCCCCCCCCCCAACAAACCCACCAGACACGGAGGAGACGTTGATGATGCACCGCGGGCGCGCCTTGCCGCTGGCCTCGATCTCGCGCTTGGCGGCATCGCGCATGTGTGGCGCGGCGGCCTGGATGAGGCGGAAGGGCGCGGTGCAGTGCACGTCCAGCATGGCCTGCCACTGCTTGGCGCCCATGCGGTGGATCACGCCGTCCCAGGTGAACCCCGCATTGTTGACCAGGATGTGCAGGCCGCCAAAGGCGCCCACCGCCGCGGCCACCACGCCGGCGGGGAAGTCGGGGTGGGTCACGTCGCCCGCGTAGGCGATGGCCACGCCGTTGGAGTTGCGGATGAAGTCGGCAGTGGCCTGGGCCTTGTCGCCCTCCAGGTCTGCGGCAACCACCTTGGCGCCGTGCTGGGCGAACAGGATGGCCGCCGCCTTGCCAAGGCCCTGCCCCGCCCCGGTGATGATGGCCACCTGAACGGGGGATGGGGCTGGAATGAATGGAAAGGGAAATGACGCCATTCCGGCACATGGGGAGACGGGCCAATGGCTGCTCCTCCTCGGAGTCTCTCCCCACACATTGCAAAATCCGACACCCCCGCATCGCGACACTGCTCCCGTTCCGGAAATGGTGGTAGTGTGTTCCCAGTCGCGATGCCGCACCCGTACCCCGATTACCTGGTTCATCAACAGGCGACCGGGCTCGTAGTTGTAACACTGGGAATGGAAGGCGTCGGCACTGGTGGGGGCATTGTCCACGCCCTCCTGGGACGGGCTCTCCCCCTGTAGATGGGAGGCGATGCGCCCCACTCGTCCCGCAGCGGCGTCCATTCTTAAGTGAAAGATTTAATTTGTATATGAAGATTCAAGACCCGGGGGTTGACCCCCATGGATGCCTCTCATCATCGCCCGGTGCTGACAGGGTGAATTTATAAACAAGGCGACCGGACCCGACGCGCGCGCACGGTTTCACTGCGCCCTTGACGCTCCCCAGGGTCTCTGTCGCGGTCTGTATCTCACAACAAGGGTCAAGCGCCGCGCCGCCGCGGCTCAGTGCGTCAGGTAGAACTCGTCGTTAGAAAGCATGATGGCACCCGCCGCCTCCAGCGCCTCCAGCTCGGCACGCACCTGGGCCCCGCTCACGCTGGCGTCGCCCTGCGCCCTCAGCAGCGCCAGCACCCCCGTCACGTTGCAGGCCTCCGCGGAGCGCTGACCCAGTTCCAGAACCGCCGCGCGCACGGCGGACGCCAGCTCCCTGATTTCCTCGGCCACCGGCGGCGCAGTGGCCGCGCCGCTCCTAGAGGGGCCGGCCGGCGCATCCTCGGCATCGCTGATGGCCTCGTCCTCTGCTTGG